CTTTCCTCCACTTGATGGAGATGAAAATAAGTGAAAAATCTCCAGAAAGATAGGTCCATAATATATACTTTCTCAAACTATGAAGTTAACTTTATGAAAACAAACACCACTATAAGATTTCAAACTGATAGAAAGATACCTAATACTGTACTTTACATTCTGAGTTTTCTTTTTTAAAGAACATGAATGAGGTATGCATAATCCAAATTTCATTACTCAGAGGAAGAGGATATTCTGGAGAAGAAGTAGTGGTAGAAAGAAGCAAAAATCTAAAATAATCCTTGTTCTCTGCTATCTGTTCTCTTTGGTGGTTAAAAATGTTCCTAAATCAAACATTCTTTAGATGATCATGAATGATTTTTTTTTGTTCCTTTAAAGACCTTTACTATCACATTTCTTAGGTAAGTACTAGAATTTTCAATCAACCTTGAAATGCCCAAGGCAGACTAGTTGAAAATATCAAAGCAGATTTCCCTTCTCTTCCCTTCAGAAGCTATGTGCTAGATCACTTGTGCTAGATGGCTACAGCTGTGTTTTTAAAAATAAAGGTTTAGGTTTTTTCCTCTTCTATCCTCATTTTGTTCAGTCTGTGTTTACAAAAACAGAGGCCCCTCACCAAAGTACTTAAGCAAACCAACAAATTACAAAAGAAGTCAGGCTCAGGTGTGAAATTTCTGGCTTTTTTCCTTTCTACTTTTTTCCTCTTTACCAAATGGAAAGCTTACTATCTCTTTTAAATTATTGCAGAAAGCACATGAGGTAAAGAGGCCACCAGCTTAAATAATACCAGGTCAAAACAACTTTAGTAACAATGCTTAGGTTAAAAAGTAAGTATAAATGGTAATATGCTAGTACAATTGTATAACAGGTCCCTTGATTTTACATTAGTTAAAGAGAAAATTCTATTAGTCATTTTACAACAAATTATAGTTTCATGAAAAATTACTAAGTTAATAATGTTTTACGTTATGTCGGAGCATTTTCCTAGATAACTGGGTCTTTGAAAAAGTTTAAATTTTTTTTATGATTTCTTCTAAACATAATTACTTTTAAAAATTGATATGTTGTTTGTACAGACCCGCCCCCCCCAAAAAAAATGATATATCATCTCCAAATTATATTTTATCCATTCTTTCTCTCCTATGCTTTTACTGCATAAAACAGAGTAATGGAGGCCTTTTACACAATATATAGTAAGTGTAAGATCCCATCTTACACAAAAACAAAACTCAAGATTCAAGTTATATTCTAGAATCTTAGAAAAGAGGCTAACCTCACTACTCAATCACAAAGAATTAGATAATAAATGAGAAATACGTGCATGTGTAACTTGAGGAAATGAACTACAAAGGAAGCATCTAAAAATAATTTTAGCAGAACTGTAAAATGTGTGCAAACATCACACAGTGAAAACAGTATATGTTAAAAAAACACATATATCTCCTAATGAAGAGAGTTGAGAGTATCTACCCTCAATAGAGAAAGGAAATTTTTCAGAGAATATGACGATGTAGAGAACGGAATTAAAATGAGTTGGTTTTTTTTTTTTTAACTTTGTTTCAAAGATAAATATGAAAATGCCCTTGCTATATTTTAAAAAGCTATTTTTTTGAAGATCATAGGATAGTTTTTAGTTAATAGGAAATTAATTGCATAGACTGTTAACATCCCCCGACTGAAAATAATGTTTGGCTCCATATATGTATGTTGAACTTAGTGTCCTAGAATATAACTATCTAGAAGTTTATGCTGTTTTAGAAGAGGTTGTGGGAAGAGCACAACCAATCATATACTTTATTAGGGTAAATGGACACATCTAGGAAAAACATAAAGCCACCATTGCCTGTGCCTAGTCAAAGAAGTGTTACCAACTGTTCATATTAAAAATACGAGCTGCTGCAGTCTACAGCCATACCACCCTGAAGAAAAAAAAAAAGAATATGAGATACTGCCTTTTGGGCAAATTAAAACTCAACACAAGGCCGGCCCGGTGGCGCACTGGATAGTGCGCCGCTTGGGAAGCGCGGTGGCGCTCCCGTCCGAGGGTTCGGATCCCACATACAGACCGGCTCCCGCTCACTGGCTGAGCGAGGCGCGGGAGCAACACCGAGGCTTGCAATCCCGTTGCCGGTCCCCGGTCCGGTACGGGGGCAACACTGAGGGTTGCGATCCGTTGCCGGACACGGAAAAAAAAAAAAAAAAAAAAAAAAAAAAAAAAAAAAAAAAAAAAAAAAAAAACTCAACACAAGTGAGTACCTTACTACAGTGGAGTGTGGTATTTCCAAAAGAATGATGACTACTCTGGTTTTCAATGACAAAAAGCACAATAAAATAAAAGAGATGTCTTTTGGCTTTTCTAGCAAAGTGTCCACCCTTTATTCATTCCCAGGAATGAATGTGTTTATTTTCCTACATTCCTAGAAGATTTCAAATTTGAGACAATATATCAAAGGGGCAGTTTAAAGCTCCTTTAACATAACGTTCTATTATATAAACGAAAACAATGCTGTCTGATATTAAGAACAAAACATCCACTAAATCAAAAATTTTAAAGTGTGTGCTTTAGAGTGTATAGTTTATCCTTATCTGAAGTTCTCCATCTATTAAAATGGATCTCAATCTGTTTTCTGACTATTCTAAGATGACTCAATAGATACTATGGTTTATTTACTTAACAAACCTGCTACTTTGTTAGCTTCTCTTCATTTGCTTCTCCCTTAAACGCTGATGCTTCTTAAGGCTCATCTTTTTCTAAACTTTATGCCCTTTCCTTAATCAAACTCATCAGCAACCAACATTTCAACTATGAACTATAAATTCTTCTCTCAAAACTGTCTTCTTTCTCTTAAGCACCAAACTCATTTACCCATTTGCTTACTGAACATCTCTACCCAGAAGTCCTACAGGTACTTCAAGCTCAACATACCAACAGAACTCAACTGTCATTCTTCAAAATCTGCTTTATTTGCTCTCTATATATTTTTAACCTACGGGAACATTCACCCAATCTCCCAAGTTATAAACCTCTGGCCTCAAATACAAATACTTACCAATCTTATAAATCTAACCTTATGATTTCAATAAGAATTAATTGTTCCAAAATCTAGATCTGAATGTGTCATTCCTTTGCTTAAAAAAAAAAGCCACATGATAACGTTACCTTCTTATTATGGTATACAAGGCCAATCTACCTTTCCATCATTAGATACTGCTATCCTGACTCACTCTCCAAAGACACACTTATCTGTGCTCTACAATAAGCATTACCTGCACTTCCCAAGTACAAAGGTGCTTTATACCACTCACTCATTAAATATTGATTAAGACTTATCTATGTGCCAGGCACTGTTCTAAGCACTGAGGATACTGACCGAAACAGACAAAGTTTCTGTCCTGTGTGACTTACATTCTGATGGAAGAAGACATACAATAACAAATATACAATATATGAAGTGGTGATAAGTGCTATGGAAAAAAAGATCCAGCTAGCAAAGCAACTCAGAGAATAAGAATTGATCACATTATGAGGCACTGATTTTTCCAGTAATCAGCATGTTCTTTCTAGAAACTTCAGAAGCCCAGCGTATCTCTAAAAGTCCAATTATACTTCTACATTCTTTAATTTATTGACATTTCAACTTAAATTAGTTTGAAAACACAACACCAAGAATACTGAAATATACAGTCATTGAGAGGCATAGCAGAACACAGCTTATTTCTGGAACAACCAAAAATAATTTTACTTTTTGAGATTAAAGTTGATAGTGTCAATTTTTTTGTTTGTTTGGTTGGTTTTTTTTTTTTGTTCTAGTGTCTTAGTTGGCTCCTGGATGTAGCCAAAAAAAGGTATTATGAGTGTTGGCACATTTCAGATTATGTCATGAGATTAGAATCTACTAAACTTAAGCACTCATCTAGAATAAGTCTCATTGTTATTTCACTTTTTTCTATAATACTCACCCTAACTATACCGTGGTTTCAAATTTAGGGCCTATAAATTAAGACTCCATAGTAATACTGAACATTAGAGACAGGAGCTTTTTACTGGTGATTTAAAAACAGTTGTTCAATTGTCTGAACCACTTAAGTGCATAATATGTCTCAACTGTTTACAAAGAGCTGAAACAACTGGAGAAACCTACATAAGAGCACTGTTTAAGATATAGGATATTACTAAAGGATTTGACAATGAGCCAAAGAAAATTTACACAGACTGGTCTGTTTCATACTCAGAAAATTACAATGATTTACCTTACCATCTAAATAATACATACTTTAAAAGAATTCAAATTTTCCTCTGGGAATCTTCACTATTACTGTATTACATGTGGCTCCAGTCTCAGGACATGAATGAATGAATAAGTGAATGAAAGAATGAATGAGTGAATGACAGTGTTTTAGTGCTCATATAAATGTATAAATCTCTCTAGAAAACTAGAGATTTAGTGGGGGTTTTTTTTAAATGTAGAAGTTAGATCTGAAATGTTTTAAACTTCCAAATAAGCAAACAGCAAAAGTTCAAAGCTGAGCCTTACTTTAATGACTACAACTCTGACAAGCAGAATTCCGTCAAAGCTTTCAGGGTGTAGGAAACAGTGACAAACTTCACCACTTTCCAAGGGCATAACTTTTCACTTATGTCCACAATCCCTGGATCCTTACAAACATGCACATTGTGGGATGCTCCTTTCTGATCCTACACAGCAAACGATCAGCTTCTTCCCTCCTCAGATTGGTTCGCACAGAGGGAGAAACATCCCAGGCCCAGCTGAAATTCTGACTAATGTGTGGGCCCACGGGGAAATACTAGGTCAGGGGAAAGGACAAAGTAGATCGGCCAGTCTGCAACATATTGATAATTCCTGTGTTGAAGAAAAAAGCAGCTACCACTGCACTGTAAGGGCCAGGGCTCATGTTCTATTAAAAAAACAAAACCAAAAGATGGCTAAGATGCAAACCTCAGTTCATTCTCAAGGCTAGGGAGAAAAGAATATACATACCGCATCTGTGATGTCTATTTCATACACCCTTTGGAAAGTCCTACGCTCAAAGAAAACAAGTTTGCCGCTGCCACATCCCCTTTGAACAGATGTACCAGTGACGATGAGTTTATCATCTGGACTGAAACAGCAGTCAGTCCTACAAACAAAAAGAGTTTATGAGTATAATCTTATGACCCACACAACAGTGCAGCAATAATAAGTGAATTAAATAAAATATAAACATCACTATAATAACAGCTAACTCCTACATAGGGCTTATGAGTCAAGGGCTTATACTAATTTGTTTAATCGTCACAATAATCTTATGAGGTAGATAGTATCCCCATTTTACTGATGAGAAAACTGAAGCAGAGTGGTTAAATAAACCTTGACCAGGATCAAATAAGTGGTGCAGCTGGGATTTTAACTTAGGCAGCCTGACTCCAGAGTCTGTGCTTTTAAGTTCTACACTATAATATTTTTTAATGTAAAGAAAGTGTGGGAAAAACTCCATATAGACACTGAGAGAGTCTACAGACATACATAACTAATATCTAAGTAGTAATTATTTTGGCTATTTTTTGAACCATTTTTACTACTACCACCACTACTATCATCCCCAAATAATTTGAGTTATGTCAAGTCAGGCACCATAAAATGAGGAACAGTTGTATTGCTGAAACCTAAATGATGGCTATGATTCAACAACTCTTATTATTAGAGTTCTGGCCACCTGACTGTGAATAATCTAAGACATGACCCAAAGAAGTTATGTATTTAGCATTACTTGTAGCAGGAATAATAGCTCAAAAAATTCTCAGCTATAAATTCATGTTTGTCTGTCTGTTTTAACAGATAAGCGCCATGTTAGAGTTAGTTGTTCTATTATTAAGCATCTTCTTTCGCTTGATGCTTCCATTACCTGCACACTCTGCCTGTTGGTCATTATTTAACACAAATGTGAAATTTCATTTCTACCAAAATAAAAAAGTTTGTCTAGGCAGTAACTATGGGACTTAGATGTCAAATCTTAGCTGCCTTGGAAAAATCTTTAAAAGTTTCAATTTGCCAACTTAGTAAAATGGACATAATAGTGTTGAGCTACCCAGAGCAAGACAGTCAGAACAACCAAAGGATGCTGAATTATTGACTGGAATTATAAGAAAAAAATGAGAAAATGAGCTGTACTATAAATGCTCAGTAACCATTAAAAACTTCTTTGATAATATGAGAGTTCAAATTTTAAAAGATCACAAATACACAGGCCTACCCTATCATTTATACAATATTAAAAGAACAGGGCTGCCCGGTGGCGCACTGGAGAGTGCGCCGCTTGGGAGTGTGGTGGCGCTCCTGCCGAGGGTTCAGATCCCATGTGGAGACCGGTTCCCGCTCATTGGCTGAGCGCAGTGCGGGCGCAACACCGAGGGTTGCGATCCCGTTACCGGTCAGTAAAAAAGACAAAAAGGAAAAAAAAAAAAAAAAGAACAACTAAATTCCTTAAAATGTTTTTACTACCCCAAGACCTGTGCATGCACACAATATATACATGCACAAACACATAAACACGTGGACATACATCATCTTAACCTCAAAAAAAGTTTCTATGATCTGAAGAATGTGCAAAATGAAAAGAAAAAGAAAATGCATCTTTCAAAAGACAGATTTAAATCACCTGTCTTTTTTTAAAGATCTAAAAAACATATGATATAAATTAACATTGACATGAAGAAATTTATTTTCCATTCTCCTATGCTAATCAAATATTAAAAATATGCTACTTACATTGGGAACATTGTGGGAAGACCCGAGGCTGAAAAAAGTGGCTTATTAAATTGTCTGATGTCCCATAATTTTAATGTATCATCACCTGATAGAGGAATGAGAAGAAGAAAAGTGAACTGTGCAAAATGAACTCATTACAAGTTTGCTAAACTTAGTGTATAATTATAAGGAAGGAAGGGAGAGAGAGAAGGAGGGAAAGAAAAAGAGAAAAAGAGGAAAAAAGGGGGAAAGGGAGGGAGGAAGGAACGGCAGAAGGAAGGAAAAGGTAAGCAAGGAAAAGAGAAAGCCAGATGCAGATAAGCATGTTTTACTTTTTAACTGTTCAGGGAGCTTGAAAGCAGTAGTTGCAACAACAGGAGAATGCTATATGATAATGAAATGGCCTTCTACAAATTACTTTCCAGATTGATGTAGCATCCGTAGGCCAAAAGGAACCCTTGAGAATCTACTCTAAAGCATGATTTTAGAGCAGATGGTAGTTCCCTTGTGGTATATTTGAGTATAACCTGTCTTCTTGAGAAGATCTTAATTTAACAACCATCAGGACTGAAAACAGTTCAATTCACAACAGATTTTTTTCCCCACTAGTGTGTGTAATGACATCCATTAACATTAATGAGGGTGAAACATGCAATTCCCCCCCCCCCAGTGTAATTCTACCTGTGGCCCATCATTCTTCATCTGCTGGCAAGTACATCTTTTCCAAGCCATTTAAAGAATAATGAATATTCTTTTAAGAATTACTTTTTAAATTTCTATAGGGCTACTAACTAATTCCTGACCAGAACAAAAGCCAAATTCATATAAGTAATGTTTTTGCTGTTCTTGCTCCCCGGTGCCCACAGTTGAGAACTGCCTAAACCCCTGGGGTCCAATAAGGAATCAGAATCAGGTGCAAGTGAGGTGAGTGGAGAGTTCAATAAAAATCCCCCTCTCTCCCCAGAGACCGTTTCTCTGAAACGTAACTTTTGGCAGGTGCACTAATCCATAACTGGCTGGACTCAGGACCTGCTTGTACTGAGAGAACTTCGTAAGACTCACCTTTGGAATGTTCCCCTATTACTTTTACTCTTAAAGTAAAAAGGTGATATTTCCTTACAATCCTCAAACAATAAGAACACAATTAATCTGCATTAATTTCAGCTAACCCAGAAGGTTCTGGAGCTAGCAGGAGCACTTTATAACACCCTGGGCACTCTTTGCTGAACAGACTTCCATCTGCCATATTCTATATATCCCAGGAAGGAAAATGATAGAGTATATATAAATGTTAAGTTGACCAACTAAGTTATCCAATAGCTATTATAGGATGGAAGGGGAAAGTAAGAATTATCACCAAAGTGGCTTTGACTGAAAGAAAGTTAGTCCTATACTCCTAAGACAGTAATTATCAACTGGGTGAGGGGTCGCTTGTTTTAGGATCCTCCAGGAAGATTTTTTTCCCCTCTTCTCTCCCAATTCCACCTCAGACATTGGGTATACTACTCTAAAGATGCAAGAGTGAATATGAGAATTTCTAAGTGGAGCATTTATCAATCGAAAAACCTTTCCAGGGGATTCAGATACACTCCTGGGATAAGAACCACTGTTTTTAAGTAAAGAATATATATAGTTTCAATTAGGAATCATCTCTGAACTCAAGTAGCAGGTCAGAACTGATGAACCAAAATACATATTTTACACATACCCACATTTGCCATGTACACCATAAATAGAAAATTACATGTACGTGTGCTTTAATTTTATTTTAATTATGCAAGTGATAGTAGTTTGCATACAATAGATAAGGCTTCCTTAGAGGTAAGAGAATCTGAATGAGCTCCCAAGAGTAAAAGGACATGGGCTAGTTAAAATGACTGTGCCAAGTCACTTCATCTCTCCTCACTTCTACTACTCTGTACACCAGGTCATACATTATTTTAGCAAAGGGGCCCTGTCTATGATGCCCACAGATTATACCCAGCATTTAGCATAATGCTAGATCACAGTAGGTGCTCAATATACAGTAGTTGAGTGAGAGAATAAATAACTAAATATAGCCCTATCATATTCATCTGCCTAACTTGTAGCTTTTTCTTTGGTCTACAGAATAAAGACTAAATCCTTTATGTGATATTTAAGGCGCTCTGTAACATGGCTCTAACGCCTACTTACCTTGCTATTTTTCTTCCCTCCCCACAAATGAGTCTACAGGAAGATCCTCAGCCATGTCCCACACCTTCCCATAATGCTTAGCTCATAAGCTGTCCTCACGATTCTCCATCCCCTCCTATCCACACACAGCCTACCCATGTAAGAAAGATTTAGCAAAAAATTAGAAGCAACCTATATCCAACCATGAGTATGGAAAAATAAAAACATAACACCTAGGTATATAACTTTTTAAAAACTGAATTGAGTTAGTGTTTGGACTGAAAAAAGGAATTCAGTGGTCAACAAATAGAAGACTTTGGAATGAAGACCAGATGCAGAATTATAAAATGGTATAGAAAGACTGTAAATGATCATCCACAAAATTCCTAAGGTACAGGCAAAGGTTATCTGTAGAGGCTTCAAACTCTTATGGAATTTGAAGCTAAAATAAAAACTTAGGCAAAAAAAAGTAAATATTTTCTAAATTTTACTTGATAACATTTAATACAATGTTGCCAAGTTGGAAATGCATTTTAATGAAAAAACCAGACTGGCAAAGGTACACATTAACAAAAGCATAGCCAGCTTTACTAGGTGCTAGGATATTACTGTGACACTTTTTAGAGTTACATATTATCATTCTATATATAGAAACACATCAAAAAGAAAGTTTTAAACCTACCTCCACGAGAGGCCAGGACATTACCATCATAGGAAAATGTCACACAAGAAGTGTCTGTGCCTGGGTCATGAGCCTGTTTATAGTGGAATTTAGGATGAACCTGTTTGCAAAGATAAGCAAAATGTTAATATCTCATCTGAATTCAGATGAGAACTTTTTTGGCAAGAACATTTCATTTTATCTTGCAGAAAATGATATACACCTATAAGTAAAGTACTAATTTCACCTGATTATAGTTTGCTTCCCTTCCAAAAAAAAAAAAAGTCTTTTAAAAAGCCTTTTTAATAAAGAAGAGATAAGGTAAGTCCTAGCAGAAGACATTTTTCAAACTGCCTTAGCAAGCTCTGAGCAACACAAGATTACGATCACATTTAGTTCTTCGTATTATGTTTATAGTTATTGGAACCATTTCTATATTCATCTGAAATAGCAAATATAAATAAAAATTACAAATGAACATATTATTTATTTACTAAAAAACATTTGTTGTATTCCTAGTATATGCCAGACACTGTGCACACAGTTGTAGGTCTTGAACTATCTTTAATGTACCTGTTGTATGATAATAAAAATGATAATACTAGCAGTTAACCTTTACACAATGCTTATTATATCACAGGCACTATATCCTTTACTACCTTGCCCTATTTAGTCTTCACAACCACTCTATAAGTTTGGATCTACTATTATCACCCCCATTTTACCATTTAGGAAACTGAAGCACGGAGACTTAAGTACCTTGTCCAAAGCCACACACAGTTTGTAAGTGGTAGAGCTGGGAGTTGAAACACAAAAAGCCTACTCTTAAACACGGCCCTAGAATCCTTTTCTTACTGATCTATCTTAATAGTCTTTTTACTTCTAATGCCTCTTCTGCATAGTTAATGACTTATAAAAGTAACTCTACTACACTAATCTTGCCACTCAGTTATGATTCAGCAACCAGCACAGCCAAAGTACTAGGAAGTCAATTATTCCAAAAAGTATGGCCTACATGGACAAAGATATCTGGTCCATTAAAATCCTTGTCCCTCGCATGGCTGTCATTAATAGCATATCCTCTAATGATAGCTAATTGTGTGTATGTGTGTGTTTATGGGCACCTGTGTATGTATATGCACACATTCCATGCTGGTTAACTGTACAAAGTTCTGAGCCATACCAATTTTCCTAGGGTAATTCCATAGCAAAAGACAGGGGCATTTCTAGTGGGTCTTTTCTGGAAGCCACAGGTATGGGAAGCAAGTGACTCCATCTTCATTGGTCTTACACCCTAAGATTGAGTGATAAAACAGAGCTCATGTACTTTACCCTCCCAACAATATCCCTGACACCTAGTCACTGGACTCACACCTAAAAGCTTCCAGTAAGGGCCAACCTGTGGCTCACTTGGGAGAGTGTGGTGCTGACAACACCAAGTCAAGGGTTAAGATCCCTTTACCGGTCATCTTTTTTTTAAAAAAAAAAAAAGAGCTTCCAGTAATGAGGAGCTCACAAAAGCAGGCTAAGTCATTTTTAAAAAATAGTTTATATATATTAAGTAAAAACTGGCCTTTCTCAGTTCTTCCTCTGGGTGACAGGCTTAGAAATGTCTATTAGTTATCATGCTTCTAACTTCCATGGAATACAAAGGATTCACTGAGACCTGGAAGATAAAGTGAAAATTGCCAGATGAAGAAATAAGAAGCAGAGGCAAGATAGAATATTCTTGTCAGAGGGTACTGCATTGTGGTTGGCAGAATTCTGACCTTCATGACCTCTGCCCCTACCTGGTGTCATGCCCTTGAATAACTTATATGGTCAAAGAGATGTGGCAAGTGTAATTAAGGTAACTAATCAGGTGGACCTTAAAATAGGGAAATTTTCTTGGATTTCAGATGGGGCCAAAGTAGTCACATGAGCCCTCAAATGCAGAGCTTTCTCCTGCCAGAGGGCCAAAGAGAAAGCCATAGGGATGTGACAGAAGAGGAAGTTGGAGAGATTGAAGGCACAAGAAATGTTTGACATGGCACTGTTGGCTTTAAGATGAAAGGGGCCATGTGTCAAGGAAATGGGGACGTGAATCCTATGAGCTTGAAAGAGAACCCTGAGCTCCATATGAGAGCCACAGCCCAAGAAAATACTTTCATTTTAGCCTAGTGAGACCCTAAGAAGAGAATCCAGCCACAGCATGCCAGACTTCTTACCTGCAGAAATTGTGAGAAAATAAATTGGTGTTGTTTTAAGCCACTAAATTTGTGGTAATTTGTTGTGCAGCAATAGAAAACTAACACATGCATATTAAAAGGCCTTAAAAGATCTTGTTGCATCCAAAAAACTAAAAGAAGTTAACTATGACTAGGGAGAAAGGAAAGGTGGGGAAATGATATGATTGGGGTCCAGATCATCAAGGGCCTCATAGGCCATGTTAAGGAACTTAGCTTTTGCCCTGAAGGCAAAAGGGCAAGGGAACTGCTAAAGGAATTTAAGCAGAGGAATAGCATGACTACATTTGCTTATTTTTAAAAGATCATTCTGGACACGTGGATATTAGACTAGGAACATTCTGTTCCTCAAACAAAACTCTGCTTCCAACCTCAGTAAGGAAAATTTGCCACTTGGTTATATCCCCATCAAGTCACCAACTATTAAAGTCTAAATGAAACTTTTCAAAGATCCTATAAACAGTGGTAACAGTTTACTAAAAAGTCCTGTACTTACATTTCGCCTCTTGGTGAATTTAACTTCATTTTTCGCTTGTTTGTTTTAAATGTTTTGTTTGTTTTTAATACTAATAAATACACATAATATCTAAATAGAAGAACGACCTATCATTTCATCGATAATAAAAAAGTGTGGTACAGGAAAAAAAGCAGTGAACGGGGACCAGGAAGTAAGAAATCTAGACTTAGTTCAGGCCAAAAATTAGCAGTGTGGCCTGGAACAGATGACTTCTCTGGTTCATAATTCTATTCTGTGTAAAATAAATGGATTGAACTAAATGATTTCCAGGGCTACTTACAGCTCTATGACTCTTAAAGACAAAAAAAAAAAAGACAAAACTGATAAATACATAATATTTTATAATTCAAACAACTGATCAATATATGCCTTTATTATTAATAGGACAAAATAGACTTTGAATGCCAATATTCAAAAATATAAATACACACATACATATAGATGGGTACATATACATCTACCAGTAAGCAACGTGAGATAAAGAACCTAAAAAGGCATAGTGTGAGCCCAGGAGCAAGCAGGTACCTCCATTTAATAGTCTAATTCTAATATTTGTTGCTCCAGAGAGAAAAAGAGATGGGATTGGATTGTAAGCCTGCTACTCCCTAAATTGGTCTTGCTTCTCCTGTGCTTTTTACTGCCCTGAGAGGGATTTCAGGGTTTAAAGACATATAGCTATCCAGTGCTCATATAAAGAAAAAGTGATCTGTCTCAAAACTTAAGAAAAAATTCTGCTGGATCTAATAAGTGATAGTGTAAATACAATACAATGAACTAGATGAAAATATAGGATTTTGATTACAGGTGATTTGACCTTAATATAGTAAGAAGAGACTTAACTGCTACATATCTGCTATACTTTCATGTCTCCTCATTCAGGTACTACTTTAAAGGGACATTATATTTCAGTTGGGCTGTTTTGAAACTTTTACAATTCATTATTTATAATGCAGAAAGAGTGAATACATGCCACCATACAAGCCCTACCCTGTCTGTCTTTCTGAGCTCCCCATATTTTCTGTTGCTGTATGGATTTACAACTTAGTGCAATACCCTTTTAAAGTAAAAAATAGCTGGATATTAATAATTAAGATTTCAAGGGAGAGGAAAAGATGCACTCAAAATAATCTAATTCATTTCCTTTTTTGAAGGACCTAATACAGAAAAAAGGTAAAATGTCTTCACTTCACATGGACAGTTCACAGACTTTATGTCAAAAAGTGCTCTTCAATTATTAAGTTCGTCTTAACCAGAAAGAAAAGTGTATCTCAACAAAGTAAAGTACGTAGACAGAGGTTATCTAAAACTTGCATAAAACAGCAACACTTGGATAGTCCGTGATGAAAAGAACTCTCAAACTTTGAAAAAAAAAACAAAGTCTAACTGAAAAACACTTCCGGCATAAAGTGGGGAATACAAATCTGTAATTGTCCTTTAATTGCTTTTATAATCATCCTAAGCAAAGAACATTGTTCTTCCGGGAAGTTGAGATTATTAATTCCTTTATATATGTTTCTTATTAAAAGTGCCTTACGCTATGATTTGGACAGTATCAAGTTTCAAATATTCACAGCGATGGAAAATACAAGCACAAAAGCCTAGAGTTTTAAAAGGCCCTGTCTGAAATCATACAGTACAAACTACCAATTAGTAAAAACTGTCCCTATACCCCTTTTCTCAGCAAGGTGGTTATGAAGCCTCTGGCAGTGCAAAATTCATTACATCACAAGGCACATCAGTCTGTTTCTGGGTGGCTTTCCCAGGCAACACCTTTCTTAAACTGGGTCCAAGACTGCCTTCTGCTAACATCTACTCATGGGTTACCGTCCAGCCTTCTGTGGCTATGCTGACTAAATCTAGTTTTTCTTCTCTGACAGTCTGCCAAATTCTCAAAAAAAAAAAAAAAAAAAAAATGTAATCTTCCACACAATCTTAAATATACCACTTTCTGAAATCCTCAGTAATCCAAACATTTTATGGTGGAACCAGTGGTCAGTGAGTTTACATCCAGAGGCTACCTAGATTCAATGTCTGTCCATTGCTCTAGTATGTGTCTATCAATGCAGGAGATAGATGGCCCTCAAAACGATCAAAACACCTTTCATAATAAATAGAAACAGTGGAATAAATTATTTTAAATGAAAGAATTTAGGTGAATTACTAGGTTGAAGATAGAAGAAAAAAAAAGTTAACAGAAAGAATACTGGTCCTACAGCCAGGCCAAATTGGCCTCAAATTTTAGCTTACTGTGTTTAAGTTTGACCCTGGCCACACAGCTTAATCCTATTTCTCAGTTTAATAGTCTTTAAAATAACATGCCCTACATCTTCCCACTCCTGCTCTTCTCCCTAACTCACAAAAAGACTGAGCTACATTTAA